TAAGTCGAAATTGTTATTTAAAAATGTAATCAATTAAACATTTGTGTAAACTAGTGTAATCTTAGATCATATACCGTGACAAAACTAGATAAGCTTTAGAGTTATGTTATAATCCGTTATATCTTAGGTAAAATGCTAGTTGATAGTTTTCATAGTAAATTAAATACTATATGTTAACTAGATTATTTGTTGCTCTATATATAACAAATATACATATATAACCATTAATATTTTCATATGCGTATAAGCAACGTTGATTGACATAAAAAGTAACTTTTGACCAAAGTAAGAGAGGTATAAGACTGTAGTTGAAACTGCTCTAGCATATACATATTCATATATACATATATACAATTATAAGTAAAATGCTCGACTAGGATATACCTATACCCAATGATAAAGTATCCTAGAACACAGACACGCTCACGCATACATATAGATATATATATGTATATTTATCTCTCTATATATATATATGTATATGCTGTTGGTATGTATTGCGTATTTAGTATGTATTTAACTTTATGACTATATAACTAAACTTTTAAACAAATTGAGTAAATACGTATGTATGTATTGAGTTAATTGTAAATACACATGTACATACACCCACATGTATAACATGAAAACAAACAAGAAAACAAATAAGCAAACAATACGTACTTAGTTATTTACTAAATGCCATTATCATGCATACATAAGTACTAAATCAGCATTTACGTAGAGCATACTTTAACTGACTCGAATCCTGTTGAGCGGCACGGTCAAACTTGAAAATTGATTGCAATCTTTGTGTGTTTTTTTGTTTTGTTTTTTTGGTATCCCTATCATTCACGTTTGCTCTCACCTGTCCCCACCTGTCGACGACGATTAACACTACGCAGATGTGCAACGGGCGAGGCGTGGCCAAACATAATGCTGGCCTGCCTGAAGGGAAAGGCCTGCGACGATGATGCCGAGAAGGGTGCCGGAGAGTACTGTGGCTCGACATTGGCTTACGCCTATTTCGTATCGTTTATATTCTTTTGTTCATTTCTAATGTTGAATCTGTTCGTGGCCGTCATCATGGATAATTTTGATTATCTAACGAGGGACTCCAGTATATTGGGTGCTCATCACTTAGACGAATTTGTGCGCATATGGGCGGAATATGATCCAAATGCGACGTAATTATCAGTTTAATATATATATGTCTAAATATATGTATACTCATTTATTTCTATATGTACCCAATGAAAAGATCCACCCTCTGATAATTTCTCCACACCTATACCCCAACCCCATTTTATTTTGTTAACTTGCTTTCTCCCTCACACTACTTCTTACGCTCGAATCCTATGATTCCAACAAATATTAAATGATTATTATTTGATCGTATTTGTTTCATATCAATTCCGTTCGAGGGTCTTAACACAGCTACGCGTGCACACAGATAATTATTTCTATTTATTTGATACACAAATCTCTCCAGTTCTATTAGACCTAAAGGTCTTCAGCATTCTTCAGACTTTCATTTCGAATTTCGTCTTTGGCAATGATTCATCTTGCCCATCAGACGTAACTTCTTCTTTACACACGTTTTATATTGGAATCGTTATTCCATATATGTATATCTGATCTCTATAGATCGACAGATACAGTTCTTCTGTTTCAAGTGTTTTCTTTTCGCCCCTTCAAACTTATTTATTGGTTTTTGCCTCCAAGAATATTGTACAAAGTATATTATCAGTTCTCTTGCCTCTGTGCCTCTGTTTTGTTTTGTTGTTGTTGTTGTAACTCATAAGATATCGAAGATCGAACATTGATCTTGTGTTTCTGTGTATCTGGGATTCGGTTACATCGAATAGATTGTTTTGGTCTGGCCACTTGAAAATTGAAAAACTGATTATGCTGTTTCTTTCTGATTCTTGTTGGCAACAACAAACAACAAACGATATTCATATAGTGGTAGAATACATTATACGGAAATGTATGACATGCTGAAAAATATGGATCCGCCCTTGGGCTTCGGTAATAAGTGTCCCAACCGGCTAGCCTACAAGAAACTAATACGTATGAATATGCCATTGGACGATGAATTGAGAGTCCAATTCACGACGACGCTGTTCGCTCTGATTCGGGAGAATCTTAGCATTAAGATGCGAGCGCGTAAGTTACAAACGAAAAACGAACAAAACAAATACATATACATGTATATAATGTGCAAAACTTTTGACTACTATTTTGGATTATCCACATCTGTAGCTGAGGAAATGGACCAGGCGGACCTAGAGCTCAGGGAAACCATCACGAACATCTGGCCATTGCAGGCAAAGAAAATGCTGAATCTGCTGGTTCCGCCCATCGATCAGTTGAACAAGGGCAAACTCTCAGTTGGTAAAATCTATGCAGGTTTTCTCATATTGGAGTCCTGGAGAAACACAAGATTCGGCCAGATTGATTCAGGCATGCCGGTAAGTTGCCCCCTACCTCGCATATACCCAAATCAAGAAAAATATCGCGAAATTCGTACTTCCGCATATCAATAAGAGCAATCAACCCGAGGGCTGATTCAGTTTGCTTAGCCTAATAATAATTTCCATGATCGATATCGCCATCGCAGGGCTTAAGTATCACAGTCTAACTCACTGTCGCTTTCGATCAAATAGCAATACGTATTTTAAGGGATCTGTGAATCATGCATATCGATAATCGTGCCTAGGTATAAAAGCAAAGCTTAAGTTTTATTTCCAAGACGTCAATAAATTACAATATTTCTTTTGGCTATTTAGTTCTGTCACTCTTACACCATCATTCAAGATTGTGTCCTGTCTGTTTAACTGTCATTAATCAAGTATGAATATATATATGTACACACAGCTGTATGTATATGTGTATAGATTGTGTCTAATCATTTTAAATGAAATACATTTCATGTATTCTCAACTCACGCCAAACAAAATATGAACACTGTAGGTCAACTACAAGGACATTGCATATTAAATATATGATTTAGCTTGGCTTGGATTGGATCTTCTAATCATCATCTATAAACTCGAATCAGCAATGCAATTAACAAGATATATATGTATATAAGCTCGATAAAAACACGATCTAAACCAAAAATATAATCAAATCACTTAATCTAAAGTGTAATGTAATAATTCCAATTACTAAGATCCAATCTAGGCCATCAAATCGCCTACAAATAAGCACATTTAATTCAATGAAAATATTTGATTAATATATATTATGATTTCTCTTCTCATATGTTTTTTAACAATGAACTCTCGAACATAACTTAAAACAATACAATTAAATGTACGACTACAACAAATACTGATCATTTTGTTTAACTAATAATAACAAAAGCAGAATTGGAAGGAGGTATATAATCAACTTATATGCAACCTCACACTTAACACATTTGTAAATGTATCTGTTGAGACACATATGTATCTAATCTAATACAAAAACCAACAACCGATAAAAAACATTGCATACTTTTCGCATACTTTTCTTTTCGAACCAAACATAATCAGTAAATGAAACGAAATTCCGATTGATAAGTGACACAGTTTCAACTTTTTCCATCACAGCAAATAAAAACTACTTTCAATGAGGTTTTGTGACTCATGGGAGCAGAAGATCCCTAATATTAAGTGGGAAAGCTAAGCTCAGCTGAGCTGATTAGAGCATTTATCTAAAGTAGGGATAATTTCAATTAAAGAGATGTGTAATATGATTAAACTAATTTTATTTCTTTTAGCTTGATCTAAGATAGGTTTCATCTAAAAAAAATTGCTTTGATTTTTCGTAATCGATAAAATCAATCAATAATCAAAAAATTAAAAGAAAAAAGCTTTTTCCAAATACTTTCAACTTAAAATATCTTGCATTAAGTGAAACCCAAATATTTTATACTTTATTTTTGAAATTTCAATATATTTTCCTTTCGGCCATTTCCTAAGGGATATTCAAATCGTTGATCAAATGAATCTAAGAAGAATGTATTATAAAATGTTATTCAATGATGATAGGCCTTTCATAGGTCCCCATCCGTTAGAAAAATACAAAAAAAGAGGAGAGAGCAGATGAGTTCAGCCAAGTGATGGAAAAAGTCGTGCACTTTTCATTTGTTTTCCCCAAGTAATGCACTTTGACTGCAGTTGAGGGCAGTCGAATTGGCTAACGGAAAATATGAAACTAATATCCGATTAATATCTGAAAATCATCGTGGTGCATTGTTCGGAAGAAACATCATTTGTCAAGCAATCAAATTATCTAAAACGATCTAAATTGAAGCGAAAGCGAAAGCGACACAATTATTCGTAGTCAAATACATATATTTGGTAGAGTTAAACGAGTTGATAAATAATTACATATATACATATATTTGGAGTGTCAAGTTTGTAACTGACTCTCGTATGTTTGCTGTTCCTTTAGGTAATTGTAGAATTAATTGATTCATTGATTGTCTTACTTCATAGATAATACTACAAATATCAATATTTACTTGAGTTATTTGAGCTAAGAGCGAAACTAAAAGAGATTCTCTATTTCGTATATTATGTATTTATTTATATTTATTTACATTCTTTTATGATGGTTGATCACGTTCCCAATAGAAAAAGCATATACTATAATTGTAAAGTCACAATCTATTCATTAAACCAATCGAAAATTCGTTGAGCGCCTTAAGAGAGTAAGAAAGTAATTAAATTACATACATTGTTTTATTCTTGTTAAATGCACAAACAATCGATAAATTAACACTGACAAATTGACATAAATTTGCAAATTGTCGTTGAATACTTGTAATTGGATAATTGGGCAAATGGTAGCGGAAGAAGCCCGAAGATGATGATGATCGTAAATATAGCCCAACGGCCGTCGAGGAGCCGGTATATAATCTCTTTAAATACAAAATATCTTTCGCTTGATTTTACTTTGCCTTTTAATAAGCTCTCCTATATCACCGTTTTTGCCATTTTACAACTTTCTGCAAGTAACAAATACCAACAATTTCGGCTAGAGGCATGTGTACATACTCGCATAGGAACGTGCATAACTAAACTATAATTCTATATAAATATATAGGAATCAACCTACCACACTAGTCTACATGCATTATGCGATTTCTTCATAGACACCCAGCTACTAATTTCTAAATATCTAGTTAACAAACAACAAAACCAACTACTACAATTACAACTACAGCTAGAACACCTATGTAACAAATCTTAACAATGCAATGGTTATGTTTTCGCTTACAAAACTCCACACAAATTACTTGTTTGCTATACTCACTCGCTCACCAATCTACTAGGCTCGATATCAATATCCAAACCAACCCTTCAAAATAATCCGATTGCCAACGGCCTAGGCCGAGGCCGATACCGATACCGAGACACACGAATATGCTCGATTTTTAATAGAAATTTTCAACTTATTTCCCCCTTTTGATCATAATTACGAATATTAACGAACCAATGTACAGCAATTGAACCATATTTAATCTAGATGTGCAAAAAACTTGAGTAAAAACAAGATATAAGAAGAAAACCAAATCATCTACCCTTGCAGACATATTAGACTTTTGTGCTTTTGAAATTTGTTAAAATGATATTGTGTCGGGCTCAACCGACTGCCCAATACTCGTTCACGAATTGCAAACAAAGTGGATAGAACAAAAATCTATCTACATCTGTAATAGCTCCGTGAGGTTCTCATCCTGTTGAATTTGTATATCTATCTATAATTGTAGGAGGTTAACATGATGCGAAAAAAGATACATTTGATGGAATTACTTAAATGCCGATTAACGTTGTATAGGGCTGCTAAAATTATGATAGTGACATCACTTGACGATTTCTCTTATCGTTTTAACTATCGATACTATTGATAGTGTACAATCGTCGTTTCAGATTAACTGAATGTGACGATTAATAAACATCGAAGGAAATCCATCGATTCAAGGCCACAATTATTGTCCATTGATACTATCGATGGGCCCGTCAATGGCTATCACAGTTTTAGCATAGCTATATCATCTTTATATAACTAAGTTACGATTTTACAAACAAATACATATACATATATATTCCGCTTTTTATACAATTATGAATGGACGAGATATATATAAAGGTACATCTACTTACATGATGACTTTTACATATAGGAATAACTGATTTATCATGTACCTAAATTTTCCAATTCTTCAATTGCAATGATTGCTCTAGCCATAGACATATTTCTGACTTCGTAAACGAGTATATAAAATATATATGAAGATCTTAACTCAAGTCAAAAAACTCCTCTGCAAGGGTAGCCCAATAGAACGCCATTCAATAGATTGATAATTATCACCGGCTTGACGAATATTTTACATACACACTATATAATATATGATTTTTCATAACATAACGGCAAAATTCAAATTTGAAATTTGTTATCTAACTTGATTTTTATAGTTTCTGTTGGCAAATTTCTGAATCGGAATCGAAATTGAAATCGCACCTAGACCCATTTAGATCATTCTTTACCCTCCGCAGCAAGTATGCCCCTTGAGCCATGCTGCCGGAGAGCAGCACCCTCTTTAAGTCCACAATGATAATACTAGAACTATGTTAGTTTGTATGATTTATCTTTGCTGATTTGCATTCGCGAGCCTTGTTAATATCGCACAATTTAATCAATTTTCGAATCGAGTTTTGCACCGTTTCATATTTGTATGCATAGAGATGCATTGTACTGCAAGCTATTAACCTACATATATACCCTATATATATATATACGTATATATACATAACCACTCACATATATAGTATATCTAATTAGGACAATATCAGACTATATATGCAGCGCCTAAGATGGCAGCCATCGAATTATATTTGAAAACGAGGAAAATTATATAACGAATTAACAAAATGAGTAAATAACAATACAAAAAAAAAAAGGAGAAAAAAATGAACTAATACGAGTTTGAATACAACAATGGCAAATGTCCTATATTTACCATATATTTTTATTTGATTCACAAGTTGTGCCGTTGAGTTTCCTAAACCATTCTATTTATGACGATAGGCATGCAAAACAAACCCATCTACATAAGTCTTAAGTTAGGCAACCAATTCAACTTTTTGCATATCTAATCTCTAACCATAGATCTAAACTAAACTAAACTAATAAAAAACAAACTTGAAATCCTTGGCATGCACAAAAAAAAAAAAAAAAGAATTAATAAAACCAAAAATAATAAATAAACTGAAAGTGTGATGCAAATGCAACCTAAAAACTTAGATATCTTTTCGATACTTATCTTTTGTGTTGAACATTTACCATCTACTACTAGATTACACCCACACCATGCTAAGCGATAAGCTAAAACTAAAAAACAATCTCAATACGATATTCGATTTTCTTTGCAAATATCTAATTCTATTTACTTGCCCGGTCCACATTTTCTATAAATTGGCACTCATAATTCTCATATTCAAATATTTACACAGATACTTCTTAGATTTTCTTCAAAAACCTAGTGAGTTGTAAAAATGTTTGCGCATGTTTTTACCACATCAATTGAAATATATATACATATAAAAAAAAAAAAAAAAAAAACATCAATCTAAAACCAAATCAAAACTCTTTTTATATGAGAAAGCATCACACACACACACAAACACACACACTGTTACACACACTGTCACACACATATATATCTATATATATACACACATTTTTCTAAAATGCATAGAGCTTTAAACATCTCTGAATGGTATACTCTACTCCATACATATACGTATCAAAGAAATCAGCAGAAAACCCGCTATTTGCCCATACTACTATAATATGAACATACTTTTTTTTATGTATGATATATGCATATATACATATATGTATATAAATTTATAGAGCTCGTTAGTATATGCCTAGCCCAAGCTATTATTTTCTCTCTCTCTCTCTCTCTCTCTCTCAACCTCTTTCCTTCTCCCTCTCTCTTTCTGTCTCTCTCATTCTCCCTCTCTATCTTCCTCTCTCTCTCTCTCTCTCTCTCGCTATTCTTCTCTTTATGCTTCTGCTGCAACTTCCTCTGCTTCTAGTTTTCAATCAAAAAGTTTGCCAAACATTTTCAACATTTGTTTGAAACATTATTTATTTATTGCATACTCTGAAATTGCTAGTCTCATACATATACTACATACATACATTGTGCGTACAGGCGAGCTGTTTCACATTTGTAATAAAAGTTATATTGCTGGAGTAGAGCCTGCGGAATTTGATTTAGTTTACGTGAGTTCTCATGCATTGTGCATCAGCTGGCGAAAGCCAATTGAAGGCGCAAAACTCGTTCACATTCAAAAAAGAAAAAAAAAGAAAAACTAAATCACCAACTAAAACTTTTCATTTAATATTTCATGAATCATTCTATTAAAAATTGGTAGATATAGCAGGCGAACTACTGTATAAATTGAATGTAGACCAGCTATATTTCATATTGGCAAAAATGTGTTTGTTTTTTTTTAATACAAAAGGAAAGCATTTTTTAAACTATGAAATGCTGTGCTTATGTAAATCAAATTGCAATAAAATTATTTCTCGAATAAATGGAGGAATAAATTAACATTTTTCATATGAGTATTATAAAAAGTGCTTTGAAGAAGACAGTCTTTTTTTTTTTTTTTTTTAGTTTTATGCCCTTTTGTAATGTTGACCCTACTTTGCCTCAATTTGATTAAAATGTATTAAATTGTATTTAGAATTTATTTAATTTTGCTTAAAATTTATAAAGTTTGATTTAAAATTT